GGCGCTCGGGGGGGGGTTCTGGCGGCGCTCGGCACGGGGGGCCGGGCTCCAGCATGCGGCGCTCGGCGGGGGGGGGCGGTGCGGGCGCGGCGCTGGGGGTGGGTTCCGGTGGCGCTCAGCATGGGGCGGGGGCGGGTTCCGGCGGCGCGGCGCTCGGAGGGGGGCGGTTCCGACGGCACTCGGCGCGGGGGGGGCGGCCTCAGGCACTCGGGTGGCACGGGGGAGGGCAGCGCTCTGGGGGGGGTTCTGGCAGCGCTCGGCGGGGGGGCGGCGCGGTGCTCGGCTGGGGGGCTCGGGAGGCAGCGCTCGACTGGGGGGTATGGGGGGCGGCGCTTTTTTTTGCTGCTTGTGGCAGCAAAAAATCTAGAGCCGGCCCTGCCCATCACGGGGCTGGAGCCGCACGTGCTGACTCGCCCTCTCACTGGGGGGAAGCCCCGAGTCTCTGCAGAGAGCTGCGGGAACTAGGAGTGCGGAGGGTGCTGCAGCGCCCCCAGCTTTTGCGTTGGGTCACAGCTGCTGGTTCCATAGGTTCCAAATGATTAGCTGACAATCTCCATCCACAATCATGGTCCCTAAGAGATTTCCCCAGCTCTGTCAATTATCAGTGTAACATATGTGAGAAAATTCCCCAGGTGCCTGTTTATTACCTTTGAATTTCTTCATTATGGTCTCCACAGATGCATTTCTTTGAGAAGATTCCCAGATTCTCCATTTCAGTTCAGAAGAAAAGGCCACTGGGTCCTGAAACGTCTCCCTCTCACATCTGAAGAACAACCCAGTGTTACTCCTTGTGGAGTTTGGTCATATTTGTGTTTTACTAACATGTATTTTATTCTAGTGAATGGTTGTAGCTCAGCAGACCCTGGAGGATTAAAGTCTCTATTGCCCCAGGAATAGGTCCAATCCCAGCTGTGACACTACAAGCTTCCCCTTCGTTTTGGTGAGACCGATATTGGAAAACTGCCTCCAGTCCTGGTGTCCCCAGTTTAAAATGGACGTTGAAAAAGTGGAGACGGTGCAGGGAAGACCCACAAAAATGATCTGAGGGCTGGTAAAAATGCCTTGCACTGAGAGAACCACGGGGAAAACAGACTTGGTACTAAAGGGGTCCTCAATTTAGCAGACAAAGGCACAACAAGGACCAATTGCTGGAAGCCGAAGCCAGAGAAATTCAAATGGGAAATCAGACAGACATTGTTAAGAGTGCGGGTGGATTAACTACTGGAAGAAACTGCCAAGGGAAGTGGTGGATTCTCCATCTCTTGACAGGGGCACCAGAACAGGGGGGCCGTGGCCCCATCACTTTTAAAAGAGGGAGAGCTCTGCTCTCTCCCTTTGTACCTGCCTTAAAGGCAAGTGATGGGGGGAGGGGGGGAGAGGAGCGAGCAGAGAGCAGGGGTAGGGACATGGTTTGGGCCCCACATTCTGCACTGCTGGACCATGGGGAAAAATGTCTCATGTTTAAAATCCCTTCCCTGCATTGGGAAGTGAAAGGGAGAGTGAGAAGGAGCCACGTACCTGCTCAAGGTGCCTGTGATGTCCTAGAGGGGAGAAATAAAAGGAAATTCAGTCTCATATCTCATACTAAGGATCCCTTCTACTCTGGAGGGGACTCACTTTGTCTTCACAGTTTGAGGTTCAAAGAGAAATTATTTGTTATTTATTAATGAAAACAAAAACATTAAATGTCTTGTCTTTGCTCTTTTGGATAAGTGCTCTGACTGCAGGATCTGGGCCCGGGAAGTTCGTATAAGGAGGCATATGAGCTCTTTGTGTAATGACATGTGGATAACCAGCTGGCACATGGAATCAGAGGGCTCAGTCTTGCAATGTGTTGAACAAAGATCTTCCGAACACTCACAGGTGTGGGGAAGATCCCCTCCTGCATGCTCCACTGGGTCCAGAGGGAGGAATGTCCCCATGCTGCGCTGCCCCCATGCTGTAAACTCTCTCCCCCCTCCCCACAAACATTCTGAAGGACCGTCCTGTGGGCTTCTTGACACCCACAGGAAGTTGGGGCTGGGTGAGAACAATGGGTGTGGGGTACAGAGTATCACAGGGCCATTCACTATCCTACACCGCAGGTTCAATGCAGGAAACCTGAGGAGTGAAGAATGCTGCCCACAGCAGATACTAGTTGCAACAGAGAATTTGACTCTAGATATCAGCTACAGAAGTCCAGGATGCTACGTTTTATTTCTCACCTTTTTTTCCTTTTATTTGCCAGTTAGAGGCATTTTTTGGAAAATAAAATCATTAGAAGGCTTTTGGAATTCTAATCACTACTTATACTTTCAGGCTACCATAAGTAACGAACAGCTTTCCTAACTAACTTCAGTTCTGGCAGACAAAATCACCACGGCCTCAGAGCTCATGTATCAATTTTAAGGCCTATATTTCCCTTTTTGTGATAGGTAGGAAGAGTGGCAAAATGAGGCTTTAAATGGAAACTCCCCTTCAATCTTAGCTATTTCCATAATTAATGACAGGTTCCATCTTAGATCTTCAGAAGTTAGTGTTTGGAACACACAAAATGCCAAACTGGATCAGACCTGAGGTCCATCTGGTCAGTATTCTGTCTCCAAAAGTGGACAATATCAGATGCTTCAGAGGAAGGTGTAAAATAATCTGCCTCCCACATTCTCATCCTGCTCTCTAACAGTTAGCAACTGGCTGAAGCAATGAAACATGAGGTTTAATATCACTCTGCATGTTCTTGTTATCCATATAAATATCGGATCACTTTTTGAGTTTTGCTAAATGCTTGGTCTCAACGACATCCGGTGGCAATGAGTTCCACAGTCTAATTACGTGATGTGTGAAAAAGT